AATTCTCAGTAAATTACTGAGTAAATTGCCACTAAATTCTCCTTCAATTACTCATTAAATTCCCTGTAAATTCTCAATAAATTACTCAAGAAATTACCAGTGAATTCTCGATAAATTACTTAGTAAATTTAGGGTAAATTCTCACTAAATTACTTAATAAATTTTCAATAAATTACTCAGTACATTATTTAGTAAATTCTCTGTAAATTACTCAGTAAATTACTTAGTAAATTTCCAGTAAATTCCCAACAAATTCTCAGTAAATTACTCAGTAAATTCTCTTTAAATTACTCATTAAATTCTTAGTAAATTACTTAATAAATTTCAAGTAAATTCTCAATAAATTCCCAGTAAATTACTCCGTAAATTCTTCGTAAATTTCTCAATAAATTCCTAGTAAATTACTCAGAAAATTCTCAGTAAACTTCTCGGTAAATTACTCAGTAAATTCCAAGTAAATTGTCAATAAATTACACAGTAAATTCTCAGTAAATTACTCAGTAAATTATCAGCAAATTCTCAGTAAATTACTCAGTAAATTTCCAGTAAATTCTCAGCAAATTACTCAACAAATTACTTCGTAAATTCTCAGTAAATTAATAAGTAAATTCCAAGTAAATTCTCAGTAAATTACTTATTAAATTCTCAGTAAATTTATCATTAAATTCCCTGTAAATTTTCAGTAAATTACCCGATAAACTCCTAGTAAATCCCCAGTAAATTCTCTTTAAATTACTTAGTAAATTATTCAGAAAATTCTCAGCAAATTACTTAGTAAATTACTCATTTAATTCCCAGTAAATTACTTAGTAAATTTACAGTAAATTCTCAGTAAATCCTCAGTAAATTACTCAGTAAATCCTCTGTAAATTATTCAGTAAATTCTCAGTAAATTACTCAATAAATTTCACGTAAATTTTCAATAAATTACACAGTGAATTCTCTTTAAATTACGCAGCAAATTACTTTCTAAATTCTCTTTAAATTTTTAGTAAATTACTCATAAATTACTAAATAAATTCTCAATAAATTACTTATTAAATTCCCAATTAGTTCTCAGTAAATTACTCATTAAACTCCTAGTAAATTCTCCGTAAATTCTCAATAAATTACTCCACAAATTCTCTTTAAATTACAAAGCAAATTACTCAGTAAATTACTGAGTAAATTACCCAGTAAATTCCTAATAAATTCTCAATATATTCCCTGTAAATTCTCAGTAAATTACTGACTAAATTCTGAGAAAATTCTCAATAAATTACTCATCAAATTACCAAAAAATTCTCAACAAATTACTCAGTAAATTAATCTGTAAATTACTCAATAAATTCTCAATAAAATACTCAGTATATTTCCGGTAAACTCTCAGTAAATTGTTAGTAAATTAATCAGTAAATTACGCAGTCAATTCTCAGTAAATTCCCAAAATATTTCTTAGTAAATTACTCAGAAAATTACTCAGTAAATTCTCAGCAAATTACTCAGTAAATTCCGAGTAAATTTTCGCTAAGTTAATTAGTAAATTACAGATTAAATTCCCTGTAAATTCTCAGCAAATTCCAAGACAATTCCTCGGTAAATTCTCAGTAACTTACCTAGTAAATTCTTAGTAAATTACTTAGCAAATCAAGCTATAAATTCTAAGCAAATTTTCAGTAAATTCCCAGTAAATTCTCAATAAATTAGGTAGTAAATTCCCAGTAAAATCTCTGTAAATTCTCAATAAATTACTCAACGAATTACTCAATAAATTCCTAGTAAATTCTCTGTAAATTACCAATTAAATTACTCAAAAAATTTCTATTAAATTCTCAGTAAATTACTCATTGAATTATTCAGTAAATTTTCATTTAATTCCAAGTAAATTCCGTAGTAAATTACTCAGTAAATTCTTAGTAACTTCCCAGTAAATTCTAAGTAAATTACCCAGCAAATTCTCAATATATTATTCAGTAAATCCTTAGTAAATTTCAGCAAATTACCTAGTAAATTACGCAGTAAATTCCCTGTAAACCTTCAGTAAATTACTATGCAAATTCTCAGTAAATAACTCAGCAAATTACTAGTAAATTCCCAGTAAATTAATCAGTAAATTACTAATTAAATTCCAAGTAAATACTCAGTAAATTAGTCAGTAAATTCTCACTAAATTCTCAATTAATTACTTAGTAAATTACCCAGTAAATTCTTAGTAAGTTACTCAGTAAATTCTCAATAAATTACTCAGTAAATTCTCAGTAAAACATTTAGTAAATTACTAAGTAAATTTCTCAGTAACTTCCCAGTAAATTATCAATAAATTACTCAGTAAATTTTCAGTAACTTACTTAGTAAATTCTGAATAAATTCTCATTGAAGTATTCATTAAATTCCCAGTAAATTACTCATTAAATTCTTAATAAATTACCTAGTAAATTCTCAGTAAATTACTAGTAAGTTCTTAGTATATTCTCAGTAAATTCTGAGTAAATTACTCAGTAATTCTAAATAAATTTTTAGTAAATGACTCAGTACATTACTTAGTATAGTCCTCAATAAATTCTCCACAAATTACTCATTAAATTCTCAGTAAATTACTTAGTAAATTCTCAAGAAATTCTCAGTAAACTACTTAGCAAATTCTCAGTAAATTACCATTAAATTCTAAGTAAATCACTCAGTAAATTTTCAGTAAATTCTCAGTAAATTCTTAGAAATTTCGCAGTAAATTTTCAGTAAATTACTCATTAAACTCCCAATAATTTCTCCGTAAATTCTCAGTAAATTACTCGATAAATTCTTAGCAAATTACTGAGCAAATTCCCAGTAAATTCTCAGTAAACTACTTAGTAAATTTTCAGTAAATTATCAATAAATTCCCCAATAAATTTCCAGTAAATTCCTAGTAAATTCTTAGTAAATTTCCAATAAATTAGCAAAAAATTCTTATTAAATTACTCAATAAATGCTCAGCAACTTACTCAGTAAATTCCTAATAAATTCTCAAAAAATTCTAAGAAAATTACTCAGTAAATTTCCCAATAAATTACTCAGTAAATTCCAAGTAATTTTTTAGTAAATTACTGAGTAAAGTTCCCAGTAAATTACTTAGTCAATTCCCAAAAAAATTTCAGTAAATTATTCAGTAAATTCTCAATAAATTACTCAGTAAATTTATAAGTAAATTTTCAGTAAATTCTCAGTAAATCACTTAGAAAAGTCCTCATAAATTCTCAGTAAATTACTTAATAAATTACACACTAAATTCTAGCTAAATTACTCTGTAAATTATCACTAAATTCTCAATAAATTACTCAATAAATTCCCAGTAAATTATTGGTAAATTACTCCGTAAATTCTCAGTAACTCACCTAGTAAATTCTGAGTAAATTCCCAATAAAGTACTTAGCAAATTCACAGTAAATTACTCTGTAAATTCCCATTATATTCTCAGTAAATTCTCAGAAAATTAATTAGTAAATTACTCACTAAATTCTCAATAAATTCCTATTAAATTCTCAGTAATGACTTAGTAAATTCCCAATAAATTAATCAGTAAATAGTCAGTAAATTCTCAGTAAATTATTTCAAAAATTCTCAGCAAATTACTTAATAAATTCCCAATAATTTACCTAGTAAATTACTAAGTAAATTACCATTAAATTCTCAGTAAATTCTCAGTAAATTACTCATTAAATTCTCAGTAAATTCAAAGTAAATTACCCAGAAAATTCTCAGCAAATTCTCCCTTAATTCTTAGTAAATTACTCAGTAAATTACTCAATAAATTTCTTGGAAATTCTTAGTAATTACTCAGTATATTACTGAGTAAATTTCCAATAAATTCGTAGTAAATTACATAGTAAGTTGTCGTTAATTTCTCAGAAAATTACCAATAAATTCTATGTAATTCAGTCAGTAAATTACTCAATAAATTCCAAGTAAATTTTAAGTAAATTACTTAGCAATTTCCTAGTAAATTCTCTGTAAATTATTCAGTAAATTCCCAGTAAATTCACAGTTAGTTACTCAGTAAATTCTCAGTAAATTACACAATACATTACTCAGTAAATTGCTCAGTAAATTCCCTATAAATCACTCAATATATTCTCAATAAATTCTAAGTAAATTACTTACTAAATTCTTAGAAAATTACTTAGAAAATTCTCAGTAAGTTCTAGCAAATTACTCAGTAAATTTCCAATAAATTTTCAGTAAATTCGAAGTAAATTACTTAGTTAATTTGAAGTAAATTACTTAGTAAATTCTCAGAATATTACTTAGAAAATTCCTAGTAAATTCTTAGTAAATTTTTAGTTTATTACTTAATAAATTGCTTAGTAAATTACTCAGTAAATTCTCAGTAAAATACTTAATAAATTCCTAGTAAATTAAATTCTCAGTAAATTCCCTGCAAATTCTCAATAAATTAGTAAGTAATTCTCAGTAAATTACTGAGTAAATTTCCACTAAATTCTCCTTAAATTACTCATTAAATTCCCCATAAATTGTAGAGACCCTAATTTTTGGTAATTACACTTGAAACCCTAAGCCTTAGGTTAATTGCATTTTAGTCCCAAATTTCATAAAATTTTACAAAATGGTCCAAGAAAGAATAATTTTTCTGTCTTTATTTTGTATTATAACTAAATCCTAGAATGCCATTTTTATATTTGAAAATACCCCTAACACTTAGTTTTTATTTATTTTAACCCTTAGTCTCTACATTAATTCATACATTTTATTTGTTTTATCCAATTTGAATATTTATTAGTTCTTTGCATCTTTATTATTTATTTGAGCAAATAAATATCTTTAAATAAATATTTTTATTATTTATTTGAGCAAATTAGTGGGAAAAAAAATTCTAGATATTTATAAGTTTTCTTAGTCATTAAGCAAGAAGGGTAGAATGGTCTTTTTAACCCAAATTCATGGCCTATAAATTGAGATCATTGTCTCAATTTCCACTCTCACATTCCAGCAGCCTAGGGAGAGGGTGAGAGAGGGAGAGTGTGATTAGGGGAAGTAGAAAAGAAGAAAAAAAAGAAGAGAAAAGGAAGAAAAGGTGACTCAAGAAGGTAAGAACCATACCTCTCTCTTGTCTCCTCTAATTTAAAAGCAATATCAAATTTATTTATTTCTCAAATCTGAATTTATTGTAGGCCATTTGGTGTGTTTAGAGCTTGTGATAATTTTATTATCCCCTAATTGTGTGTTTTTAGGGCTTGGATATTTTGTTTAAAAATTTGGTCTTGAGTCACTGAAAAACAGTCCACTTCTTGCAATTTTATAAAATTCTAAAAAAATCATCTCATGTTGGTTCTTCTGTCAAAATTTAGAATTCTGAGTCCTGTTTCTAACAGAATTTATTTGGGCGAAAATCATCGGGTAGATTGAGGGGAAAGCTAGTTTTCCCAACGGGTGACAAATCTGGACAGGTTTTTGAACAGAGCTTATAGATGAATTTCTGGAGGTGCTGTGCAAATTCTAAGAATTGGAATTGAAACTAGACAAGTTGATTATTGTTTCTATGCAATTTCAGCCCCTAATTTGACCTGGAAGTATTTTTACCAAAGCATTATTGTTAGCCCTATAGAATTGAATAGTGCTGAAAATTGTGTTTTATTGTGTTATTTGTCTCTAAGTGTTTCAAAGCATTCCTAATGTTGTTTGCTTGCTTTACCATACTTATGTATGCTTATCATGGGTTATATTTCCTCTCTTATGTTTGTCTCATGCTCTTTTATATTACCAAATTACCGAATGTAACTAACTTGCTTAGCAAAAAATCTAATAAACAGGAAATGATAAGGGGTTGGCAATGGGGTTGACGTTCACATTAGTGTTTTGGAATAATTTATACATATGAATGACATGAATTATGATGGGATTAATCCCAAATAAGTTAAGTCTTGGGCAAGCGGTCTAAGCGAGCCCCTAGGTTGACACGGATGTATTCAGACTCTATGTGGTGGTTTCAGGTTGTAAGCGAGCCCTTTGGTATGGTATGTGTAGAGTGTAAGCGAGCCCTAGGCACGATTTGGTATGGTATGTGCAGGGTGTAAGCGAGCCCTAGGCACGATTTTGGTGTAAGCTAGCCCACTTGTTTGGCCGTTCCTTTTGAGGTCCATCAATGTCACTGACCGGTAAATAACCGAAAGGTGGGCATGGGCGGTAAGGTCTACAAAGCAGCAAAAGGGGGAGTTCTGAATAGTCCGGTGTTCAATCCTCGTGGTTGGGTAGAAGGATCTCTTTGGGGGATTCTAGATGTCTAGTCTAACTACTAATTCATAAAACCTTATTATAATGTTGTATTTATGTTACCCGATTTGTTCTGTATATGGTTGATTGGTTGATAAAAGATATGGGGGTGTGTGTGTTTTTACTGGGCATTCCAAGCTCATGGTGTGTCATGCCAGGTGATGAAGCACTTTACAATGGTGAAGGTTAATTCGAAGGCAAATAAGATGAAGTGTTGGAGCTGTAGTTCATTTGAAGACTTAGACTAGTTGTTTTTTTTTTCCTTTTAACTTTTGGTTTGGCAATGTTTTAGTAATCCTGTAATGGACCATAAACAAATTATCTGTGATATTAACTCTGTTTATATATGTATATTAAAATATTTTGGTTATCTATCCTACTTGTGTTGTATTATTGTACTTATTTAATGGCTCGGAAGTTGGGGCGTTACAGAATGGTATCAGAGCTTAGGTTCAACCCTTACCCACGCGTTTCGACTTCAAACGATTTGACGATCACCTACGAAGGGAAGTGGTTTTAACTTTGAACAGGGCAATGTGTTGAGCATTAAATACAATTACGAGTCTTCTATCGATCGTCATACCCTCATCTCATATTTGTAACCTTGTTTGATTTCGTTCGCTTTCAAGATTAAGTCATTACCATCTGGTCTTACTTTATATTTTTCAATTATACCATTTGCTAGATTGACAACCTTGAACCTTGATTATGCCATCTTGGACGGGAATTTTTCTGAAAGTTGCAATTTCTTTATTCGGTGACGAATCTTGGATATTTAGTTTGAAACGCGGATGGCCGATGCAGTTTCAAGTTAAATAGCTAACTTAGTCACTATGTCTATACCTTGACCACATAAAAGTCTTAAATCATAACCCATCCGTATTTCGGACGATCCTTGTATTAATTGATGCAATTACTATAATATTCTTCCATCTCCACTTCGCATTTTCCTTTTATTAATCCAGTTTTAAAAGTTTTGTAGTTATTATTTTGCCTATATATATATATATATATATGTGAAGTTGTGTTATGTGCTTCCCTATATTTGTTATTTACTACTTGATCTTATTGCTTTAAACACCGTGGGATAATTAAACCATAACTTTAAGATTAGTTGATTACCCTTAAGAATTGCCTCCATAATTAGACTCCAACTTATGCCTCACCTCGTACTACAAACAGGAAAAAAAAAATAGAAAACCACACTCGAGCCAACGGCTACACCGAGACAAGAGATAACACACGAGCTCACGAGCAATAACGCAATAAGAATGAAGTATCATGTAATTGAAACCCTAAGAATGAACCAATACTCGCGGCTGAAATCTTGAGCCACATTGGAAACCAAATTCTGGAACAATTGGGTCAATTGAGAGGGAAAATGCAAGAAAGTTAGAATAGGGGCTAGACCCTACGATCAGAGGAAGAGGACGAAACCCCATTTGTAATTAGAGGTAACATTGTACTCTATAATTCTTGGGTTCACGCTCTATTCGATTATGGCGCACCATTTTTTTTTATAAAAACATTATGTGTTTAATCATTAGGTCTTGAATGTGAACCTTTAAAAACTACTTTAAGTATCGCATCACCTTTGGGAGGAAGTGTCAGGTTTACACTTGATTTGCGACCTTGTGGTCATGGGCATGTTCGATTTTGACATAATCTCAGGTATGGGTTGGGTATCTGCCCACTGAACGATGATTGATTGCTACTAGAAGAGCGTGACTACTTAACCTGATGGGAGGTGTTTCCAATTTAAGGGGGATAGAGAGGAGTGTCTGAGCATGACAATGCTGTGGCATAATCAACTTGCTGGGTGTCCTAATTGAAAGAAGTTAAATTTTTGGGACACGTAGTGTCTGAGCATGGGATTGCAGTGGACCCAACCAAGATAGAAGTAGTATTAGATTGGAAGCAGCCAACCTCAGTATTCGAAGTTCGTAGTTTCTTAGGGTTGGCCGGTTATTACTGACGGTTTATTCAAGATTTTTTTTAAAAACTGGCTAAGCCGATGACTCGTCTAATGCAAAAATGGGTAAAATATGATTAGGATGAAGCATGTGAACGATCCTTTCAAGAACTCAATAGGAGATTGACTAGTGCCCAATACTCATCATTTCGAAGCGAGACGAAGGATATACAATGTATTACGATGCATTTAAGGATGAGTTAGGTAGTATGTTAATGCAAAATGGAAATGTGGTGGCTTACGGCTCCATGCAACTAAAACCGCATGAAAGGAATTATTCGACACATGATCTGGAGCTGGCAGCGATGGTTTTTCGCTAAAGCAATGGCATTAATATGGTGAACAGTTTGAGAATCTCACGGATCATAAGAGCTTGAAGTATTTGTGCACATAGGAGGACTTGAAGATGAGACAAAGACGGTGCTGTATCTTCTTATCCTGGCAAAGCTAATGTGGTGGCAGATGCCCTAAGTTGTAAGAACCGGGGGATTATTGTTAGCCTGGCACTCAAGGAATGGAACATGGTCGGAACACTTAATGAGCTTGGAGTATAGATGAAAGCTTATGACGAAAAGGTATACCTTGGTGCTAAAGCCGCTACAACCAAATTACTGAACGAGGTAATGGAGTCACAGAAGTATGATCAGGAGGTGGTGTTCATAAAAGCATGAATAGCATCCGGCAATCATATACTTGATTGGACGATTCACTAGGATGGAAGTTTGAGACATCAAGGCAGCGTGTTTGTGCCATAAAATGAGTTGTTCAAAGAAAGTTCTAAAAAGTTCCACCATTCGGTGTTCGTAGTACACCCAGGAGGGACGAAAATGTACCAAGACTTAAAACACCAATACTGGTGGAACGGAATAAAGAAAGATGTGGCTCAATTCGTAGCCAGATGCCTTATGTGTCAGCAAGTAAAGGTAGAACACCAGCGACCTGGAAGGATGCTTCAGCCCTTGCCGATATCAAAATGGAAATGGAAGCATGTAACAATGGACTTTGTCACTGGACTACCTAGGTCACCTAGAGGACATGATGCTATATGGGTTATAGTTGATCGTTTAATGAAAAATGCACACTTTTTTCCATATAAACTCTCAGACACTTTAATATCGCTGAGTCATCTCTACATTAAAGAAATTGTCCGATTACACGGAATTCTTGTATCAATTATGTCAGATCAGGACTCGCGTTTCACCTCCCGATTCTGGGGAAGCTTACAAGAAGCGTTAGGGACCGAATTATGCTTTAGTACCGCCTTTCCTCCTTAAACTGACGGACAGTCCGAGCGCACCATTCAGACTTTGGAGGACATGTTGAGAGCTTGTGTAATGGATTTCAAAGGGAGTTGGGAGTGACACCTACCATTGGTGGAGTTCACATACAATAACAGTTTCCAGGCCAGCATTGGCATGGCTCCATTCAAAGCACTGTACAGTCGACCTAGCAGATTACCAGTTTGTTGGACCGAAGGTGGAGAAGCGAGCCTATTGGGCCCAAAGATCGTGCAAGAAATGACGAAAAAGGTGAAACTTATTCGACAAAGATTAGTGGCAGCTCAAGATCGTCAGAAGAGTTATACAGATAAAAGGAGAAGACTTCTAACTTTCGCTATCGGTGATCATATTTTCTTGAAAATTCAGCCCTGCTGTGGGATCATTTGTTTTGGAAAGAAAGGAAAATTATCACCTCGATATATCGGATCCTTCGAGATACTTTAGAAATTAGAGAGGTTGTGTACAAATTGGCTCTACCCCCGCAATCGGCTGGAGTACATGATGTTTTCCACGTATCTATGTTGCGAAAGTACATAATGCACCCTTTTCACATCATCAACTGGGAAGAAATCCAACTCAACGAAAACGCTACCTTTGAGGAGGGGCCAGTAGCAATTATAGAATGAAAAGAAAAGAATTTGTGAGGAGTGACAATTCAACTTCTTAAGATACTCTGGCGTTACCATGATATTGAAGAGTTCACTTGGGAATGTGAAGACGCGATGTGAGCAAATTATTCACAACTATTCGAGACGTGAGGTACGATTTAATTTCGAGGACGAAATTTATTTAAGAGGGATAGGTTGTAGAGACCCTAATTTTTGGTAATCACACTTGAAACCCTAAGCCTTAGGTTAATTGCATTTTAGTCCCAAATTTCATAAAATTTTACAAAATGGTCCAAGAAAGAATAATTTTTCTGTATTTATTTTGTATTATAACTAAATCCTAGAATGCCATTTTTATATTTGAAAATACCCCTAACACAAGTTTTTATTTATTTTAACCCTTAGTCTCCACATTAATTCATACATTTTATTTGTTTTAGCCAATTTGAATATTTATTAGTTTTTTGCATCTTTATTATTTATTTGAGCAAATTAGTGGGGAAAAAAAAATCTAGATATTTATAAGTTTTCTTCGTCATTAAGCAAGAAGGGTAGAATGGTCTTTTTAACCCAAATTCATGGCCTATAAATTGATATCATTGTCTCAATTTTCACTCTCACATTCCAAGGATCGAAGATCTAGGATGTCTAGATGATAACATCTCGGCCTAGGTGATGCACACCTCGGCCTAGATGATGACATCTCGGCCAATATGCCAGGACGAAGGTGGAGGTTAACCAAAGTGGTTCCAAGATGGTCCTAGGTGTAAGAGGTTCAAAGGTGTGACCTAGGCTTAAGATGACCTCGGCTCCACACACCAAGCAAGGAACAAAGCATGCAAGCAACACTTAGGCAAAACAAATCAAGGTCTGTAAATGCAAACTTATCGAGACAAAAATCATGTAAATGCATGCGAGCATGACTAAGACAAAGTGAGGGTTGTTACAGTAAATTACTCAGTAAATTCGCAGTAAATTCTCAGTAAAATACTTGTTAAATTGTCAGTAAATTACTTAACAAATTCCCAATAAATTACCATTAAATTTTCTGTAAATTACTCAGAAAATTCCCAATAAATTCCCAGTAAATTACTTAGTAAATTCACAGAAAGTTCTAATTAAATTACTCAGTAAATTCCAAGTAACTTCTCAGTAAATTACTCATTAAATTCCAAATAATTTCTCAGTAAATTACTCAGAAAATTCCTAGAAAATTACTAAGTAAATTCCTAATAAATTACTCAGTGAATTCTCAGTAAATTACCAGTGAATTCTCAGTAAATTACTCAGTAAATTCTGAGTAAATTCCCAGTATATTAATCAGTAAATTTCCAGTAAATTCTCAGTAAATTCCAAACAAATTCTTAGTAAATTCTCAATAAATTCAAAGTGAATTACTTAGTAAATTCACAGTAATTCTCAATAAATTACTTAGCAAATTACCAGTAAATTAGTTAGAAAATTCCAAGTAAATTTTCAGTAATTTACTCAGTAAATTCCCAATAAATTC